CTGGCCTTGAGCTCACTTTATAGGTCTTGAACTCACAATGATCCTCCTGCCTCAGTCTCCCAAGTGCTGGGATTACAGGCATGCGCCACCACACCCGGCCATACCGCTGATTTTTCTTGTTGGTATTGTATCAGCAATTCTGCTGAATGCATGTATTAGCTCTAATAGTTTTTAGAAATACATTCTGAAGAAAGAAAAAAAGTGCATTCTGTAGGATTTGTACATATAAGATCATGTCATCTGTGAATATAATTTCATTTCTATCTTTGAATAAGGTCCAAAGAGGTCCTCAATGTGGAGATGGAGAACCTTGATTCACTCTACCCATGGGACAGGTTGCAGGCTTCCATCACCTTAAAAGAATTTTCAGGACATATTAGTAAAAGCATAAAGCGATTTATTAGGCAGAATTTAATTATTTTATTTTTATTTTTTCCAATCATATTTCATTAATATATTTTAGATATACATAATGATCACATTGATCTGAGGAATTTGTACCTGTACATGATATAATGCTTTTTTCTTGTTGTAGTTTGGGTTCGCAAGGGGAACAATACAGGACACATAATGTGTAGAATTATTTTATAGTAGTTACCCAAAGAGTTATATACAAAGAGTGTGCAGGCAACCTGCCTACACACTAACACCAAAGAATCCACTTGAGGCCTGGATCCCACAGTAATGTCCTGCATGAGTCCAGCTGAAGACCTAGAGCCCACGACAGTGCCTCATGCAGGCCTGTTTCACCTATCTGTACTGGGAAGGTCCAAAGGTCAGTGGTGGAAGCTAGAAAGTCTGTGCCAGCGGGATGAAGGATCTGTGCTAGCAGGCTGAGGGATCTGCACTGGAGCCAGGAAGTGACATTCAAGGTAAGAACCAGAGCTCCCCCGAAAACTACCACAGCCAGCCTCAGCAATAGTGAGGTCCCGAGCTCCTCTGATGATGAGAATAGCCGGGCTCCCATCAGGAAAGCCAAAGGGACAAGCTTCTCCAAGAGACTGAGCAGTGCACCATCTTCCCCTCCGGAGCTAGGGAGTGATACTCAAAGTGAGGACCAGAGCTCCCCCAAAGTGAACTGTAGCCATTCTCAGTGACAGTAAGGTCCTGAGCTCCTTTGATGATAAGAACAGCCGAATGCATCAGGAAAACCAACAGCTCCCTACAGCTTCTAAACTTCTTCCTCTCCAGTTCTACCTGTTTTTCTTTTTTTTTTTGTCTTTTTGAGACAGGGTCTCCCTATGCAGTTCAGGCTGGCCTTGAGCTCACTTTGTAGCCTAGGCTGGTCCTGAACGCTCAACGATCCTCCTGCTCCTGCCTCAGCCACCCAAGTGCTGGGATTACAGGCATGTGCCACCATGTCTAGCATTTCAGTTCTACCTCTTATGCTGCCAGCAACAATCCTCAGGTGGGCCCCCCACACCCAGCACCATGCTAGTTCAGTTCAGCTGAGTGTTACAAGTTGAGCACCAGTTGTCAATCTACCACTTTCCTCATTCCCCTACCCTCTTTTCAACCCCTCCTCCCCTCCCATTTACAAGTTTTGTTTCTGTGTTTTCCTTTTTTTCTCATTTTTTAACTTTACCCTTCTTTCCTTTCTCCCTCTCCCATCTTTTGTTCCCCTCCCCATTTGAACATTTTCTTTCTGTTTCATAATATTTATGATATACTTTGGTCCTTATTTATACTTCCAGTTTCTCACACCAGAGAAACATTGTATTTACACGTGTGTGTCCAATTTATTTTACTGAAGAGTAAGGTCTCAAGGTGCACCTGTTTACCTAGAACTGTCTTAAGCTTATCCTTCTTTGTGGTAGAGAGATACTCCACTGTATAAAAAAAACCACATCTTCTTTATCCATTCATCAATTGATGGGCATTTGGGTTGTTTTTAAGCTTTGGCTATTACAAACTGTGCCACTGTAAACATGGGTGTGCATATATCACTGTGGTATGATGCTTTTAATCTTTTGGGAAGATACCCAGGAGGGGAATACCTGGGTGAAATGGAATCTCTAGTCCTAATTTTTTTTTTGAGAAGTCTCCACACAGATTTTCACAGTGATTGCACCAGTCTACAATCCACCAACAGTGGAGAAAGGTTCCTTTTTCCACAGCCAGCATTTGTTGTTGGTTGATAATT